GCAGAAACTTCCAGGAAGACTTTCATTTGCATGAAGAACCTCTCCACCTCATGGAGCTGTGCCTGCCTCTCACTGCACTGCTTGGCCTCTTGTTTTAAGACCTCCACCTCTCCCTTGAGGATGGAGCACCTCTCCTTCAACTGGAGGATCTCAGACAATGTCTCCATAGTTCTCCAGGCCTGGGTCTCCCCAATGCCCTCCCATCCCCCCTTCTCCTTTCCTGCCCTGAGTTTTAATACAAAGTCTTCAAACCACTGAACTGTTTCATTTCCCAAGGCATGGTGCCATTTTCTTCTGAGGAGGAGAACTCCCCCCAAAATGAATAATGCACAGATAGCAGGCCACGTGGACATCAAACTGAAGTAAATCCAAGGTGAGAAGGGAATCCAATGTCCCCTTGTCTGCAGAGTTGAAAGGCACACATTCAGAGGAATTTGGTTTAGGCTGGTATCCCTGCGTCTCTGTAGCGCAGTGATAGGTTGGAATGGAGGAATCACAGTTTGAAGACTCCCCGGTTTCCATGGATCCAGTGGACACATCGGTGCAAGGCTGAGCAGGTCTGGAGGTCTCATAATGAGAGACCAAGTGGCAAGCCCATTGTTTGGGTGCTCTATGCTCTGGGGGAAAGGAAGAATCCAAATCCAAGGTCGCATGGTAAACTCACTGTCTAGTTGCCGGCTTGGCCTAGCACAGAGCTGCATTGTTGGTCTCCATGTCCAAGGGTACATGGTGAGCCCACTCTCAAGGGGCCTGCTTGGCCTAGCACAGAGCTGAGTTGTTGGTCTTGATATCCAAGGGCACAAGGTGAGCCTGCTTACCAGGCACCAGCTTGGCCTATCAGATAGCTTGGTAGTTGCTCTCCAGGTCCAAGGGTACATGGTGAGCCTACTGTCCAGGTGCCTGCTTGGCCAAGCAAAGAGTCGAGTTGTTGGTCTTGAGGTCCAAGGGCACATGGTGTGACTGCTGTCCAGGTGCCTACTTGGCTTGGTGTAGAGCTGCATTGTTGGCCTCCAGGTCCAAGGGCACATGGTGAGCCCGCTGTCAAAGTATCTGCTGGGCCTAGCCCAGGGCTCTGTTATTGGTTGCCAGGTCCAAGGGCACATGTTAACCCTGTTGTCCAGGTTCCTGTTTGGCCTAATTGAGAGCTGTGTTGTTGATCTCTGGGCCCAAAGGCACCTGGTGCCCCTGCTGTCCACGTTCCTGCTTGGCCTAGTGCAGAGCTGCATTGTTGTTCTCCAGCTCCAAGAGCACATGGTGAGCCTACTATCCAGGTGCCTGCTTGGCCTAATAGAGAGCTGATTACTTGGTCTCCAGGTCCGAGGGCACATGATCAGTTGGCTCCTCAGGTACCTGTTTGGCCTAGCAGAGAGCTGAGTTGTTGGTCTTCTGGTCCATGGGCACATGATAAGTTGGCTCCTCAGGTACCTGTTTGGCCTAGCAGAGAGCTGAGTTGTTGGTCTCCTGGTCCATGGGCACATGGTGATTCTACTGTCAAGTTGTCTGTTTGGCCTAGCCCCAGGCTCCTTTCTTGGTCTCCAGGTCCAAGGGCACATGGTGAGCCTGCTGTTCAGGTGCCTGCTAGGCCCAGGATAGAGCTGAGGTGTTGGTTTCCAGATCCAAGGGCACGTGATAAGCCCACACTCCAGGGGCCTGCCTGTCCTAGTAGAGAGCTGAGTTTTTGGACTCCAGTTCCAAGGGCATATGGTGATGGTGTTATTCAGGTGACTCCTTTTCCCAATACTGAGCTGGGATGCAGGACTCGTGGTTTCTTGACCCCTGGCAAGCCTGGTATTCTCTGGACTTACTTGCCTTGTGCTACACTGGAGTGGCCTGTTTGTGGTAGGACTCCCTGTCCACCCAGTGTCTGTGTGACTCATCTGCCCAGTAGTAGAAGACTCCCAGTCTTTGGGTTCCTGGTTGGTGCTCTCTTACAGGGACTGACTTTCTGCTTGTTATACTTTGTTGGAGGGTTTGTGGTCTGTGGGCTCCTGGTCAGCCAGGTGTCTGGGGGGTTACTTTGTCCACTGCTGAGCTGGTTCATCCAGCTCGTGGTCTCAGGACTTGTGGTCCAAGGACTTGCACTGTGTCCAATGATGTGGTGATTCCTTCCCCCAGTACTTACTTGTTTTGTAAAAGTCCCACTCTCCCTGGTGTCCGTAGGCGTTCTAAACACTGTCGACATCAGGGACGGATGGACATTCAATTCATTCATGGTCCCTGTGCTGAGCTGGTTTGGAGGGCTCCAGAGTAGTAATGTGCCCAGTGCTCCCTCAGGATGTGGACTCAGCTTTCCTGTGCTGAGCCCTGTTGTGAACCCAGAGGTGTGGGATCCAGCGCGCTGAGAATCCATGGTGATCTGATTTCCAGTGTCCCACTCCCATATGCCAAATGAGATGTGTTCCTGAGCAGCTGGGCCATCCTCATAGTGGGAAAAGGGTCCAGGAGTCGCTGGATGAAGGTTTGAGGACCTCAGGACCACACAGGGGTGCAAAGGTAGGTGCAAACATGAAGGTGGACTGCAGAGTGTTGGTGAACGGCCCAGGGCAGGAGGAGTGGGCAGAGGGCTTGCCATGGGCAGGGCCGAAAAAAGGTCAGAGAATGCTAGGAATAGCAGGAAGAGCTGTAGCTGAAGCGCCATTTCTCTCCACTGGCAGCCTTGGCTGTTGCCGAGCTTTTAAAACAGCTCTGGGGCATGAGAATGCCTTCTTGTGATGTCACCACCATGCCCTGGCCAATCACCAGGGTGCTGTCACGTTGGCTTCCTTCGGGTGGCCAATCGCCATACAGTTTGGCTGGCCAATGACTGATGGCTATCTCAGTGACCTTCCTGACATCATTGCCTAGAAACCTTGTTTTAAAGGAAAATAGATAAGCTTTCCTTCAAGATGAAAAATTCCTATTTGGGATGAATTCATAGTGAAGGTCATGGTGAGGCTGAAAGCCTCAACCAGTAGAAAGCTCAATGTGTCACACAGAGTCACATTTCCCTAAAACGCTGACACCAATGCTAGTGAAGACATGGGACATTAGACCCCATGACACATCACTGTTGTGGGGTAAGGGGGACAATATGGCACTAAGGAAATCCTACTGTCAAGTCACCCATCAAAGCTGAAATAGAAGTTTAGAGAATGGTAGGCGTTATGTTTGGTACATCTTCTCACAATACACCTAAACCTCGAAAGGATGAAGGTGTATCACAATTCATTACCTGCTTGTCAAAACAGCATTCAGCTCTCCTCGAAGGGGACAACAAAATCCAGCCTATCACCAGGTTCACAGTCCTCGTGTCCTGCGTCCAATCAGAAAGTTATGGGGGGAACTCCTCCCTCAAATCCAACTACAAACTTATCAAATCATTCAGAACACCCAAGAAATGAATCAGAGATCTGAGAAAACAGATGCTACAAGTCTACAAGTAGAAAAGTGACCACAATTTAGAAGGTAGGAGGTGTGGAGACGTGAATCTTGTGTGACATAGCTGAGAATACAGGGAAGGAGAGGGGGCTTGCTTGAGGAGGCTACTGCAAAGTAGTATAAGCATTGGTTTGCAAAATCAGAACTTTTGAAAGTCTGGATAAAGAAAATGAGGTATATACATACAATCAAATATTACTCAGCCACCAAAAAGAATGGCATCTTGCCCTTAGCAAAAATGTGGATAAGACTAGAGGGTATTATGTTAAGTGAAATAAATCAGCCAAAGACAAATATCATATGATTTCTCTCATATGTGCAATTTAAGAAACAAGTAATGAAATAGAGGAAGGGAAGAGCAAATAAAATAAGATGAAAACAGAGAGGGATGCAAAACATAAGAGACTCTTAATTGTAGGGACCAAACTGAGGGTTGCTGGAGGGGAGGTGGCTGGGACATTGGTTGATTGGTTGATGGGCATTAAGGATGGTATTTGATGGAATGAGCACTGCGTGTTCTATGCAACTGATGCATCCCTACATTTAGCCTCTGAAACTAAAAAAAAAAAAAAAAAAAAATGCAATGTGTTCCTGAACCTTCCATATTTGTTCCCACCTGGCACACAGCAAGTTTCCGTTGAGTACTTCTTGAAAGAGTGAGCTCAGATGGAGCTGTCTTCTCCCAGAGCAGATACATAGGGTCCGGAACTTAGGGGAGAGAAGAGGGAAGAGCAGAGAGGTGTTCCTGTTACGGGATGAACATGCCACGGGGATGAAAGGCACAGCATAGGGAATATGGTCAATGATATTTTAATTGTATCTCTGGTGATGGAGGTAACTACACTTGTAGTGAGTGTAGCATAAGGCAAATCTTGTCCAATCACTATGATGTCCACCTGAAGCTAACATCATATTTCGTGTCAACTATGCTTCAATTTAAAAAAAAAAAAAAAGAGTCCGAAAGTATATCTATAAAACAGAACTGAGTTTGTCTGGGAGTGACAGGAACCCAAATGCAATCCAGCTGGAATTAGGCTCCCTCAGCCTGTCTAAGGGCTGAAGGTAACTCTGGTCTCTTGGGGACACTCCGCTCTCCACTTCTGCATAACTTACTTCCAGTTCCCTTCTTTGCTGATTTCTGCTTCTACTTCCTTTGCCAGCTTTTTCCTGTGCGCCCCTTCGCTTGGTGTTCATGCTCTTCTCCTCAGGATCCTCATGGGGCGAACCATCTATCCCCTCGCTTCAGAGAGCACCGCTCTGGAGGACCTTGAGAATTCTTTTGTGGGTAAGTGTATAAAGTGCATTCCACGGATAGGATCAATAACTGGCTATGTGTGGATTTTAGTTTTGATCCATGAGTGTACAGCGTGGAAGAGCCTTGCCTCTGGAGCTGTAATCACTAAAGGCTGACCTGTTTCTTGAGGATAAAGCTCATTCCCTGTTTCAATCTTATGTGCCTCTAATTCATAAATATGTACCAGGGGTGACGTATCCTACCTCTGGGTTGTATTTATGAACTCTGTAATTCCTAGATTTCCTACAAAGTCTGTTTTGTACTCTCCCACAGTGGTGCTGCTGGACCACGATTGGGCTGCTAAGGCAAAGAAGCGTTTCTAACTTGTAGTATCAGAGACAGCAAGCTTTGAAGGGGTTGGGACGATGTGGTGATCTTTGTGTGACCTCACGAAGCACATGAAACCCACGTTCTGTGTCTTGTGCATCTTCTTCCAAGTGGAATTTCTCCCGCATGTTGGCTTCCTGGACCAATTCCTGAGCCAGCTGCTGCCAAGGAGGAGGAGGACCAGGATCTGCAGGTACTTCCAGGTGCTTCATTGGCATAGGGGAGTGGGGGTACCAGGGTGTGTCCTGCGACCCTGAGGTGTGCGGGCATAGTGTGGGACCTGGGGGTGCAGGCAGGGACTCCAGGCTAGGCCAGCAGGGAGGTGGTTGTTAGCCTGAAGGGTAGTCCTCATTCATTCACCTCTGGATGGATACCTGGGTTGTTTCCATACCTTGGCTATTGGGAGTCCTGCTACAAGAAACGTAGAGGTGCTTTAGCTTCACACCAAGGGCACGCAGGCTGTTGAGCTGACGCTGAATTGGGTACGACTGCCGTCACCGGGCTCTCTGTGCAGAGGGTGGCTGGAGTGGAGATGGATCAGGAGCTGAGGTTTTCTGGGGTGCTCTGCACAGGGGGTAGCCTGGTAAAACAGCTGTAGCTGAGGTGGGTGCAGGCTGGAGTGTCCCAGTGCTCTCTGCAGGGAAGGCACTTTGGGATTTTAGCTATAGCAGAAGTGAATTCAGGATTGGGGGCCTTCTCTGTGCACAGGATCTCCTAGAAAGATGGCTGAAGCTCAGTGGGCGAAAGCTGGGGTGTCCCGGGGTCTTCAGCTCTACGAGAGTCTCGACAGCATTTGGGCTGGGTGGTCCTGGGCTGTCCAAATAGGGGGCTCCTTGGCAGGTCTCCTGGAGCTGAAAGAGTAGTGACCCAGGAGGTCCCGTAGCCCTCCTTGCAGGGGTGCCCTAGGAAGCCGAGTCGTGTAGGCCTGGAGTGTTCTGGGGTGCCGAGCACCTGTGTCCCCTCGGTGTGAGGTCTCGCGCTGTGTTGAATGCTGACCAGGGTGCCCCAGTGTGTGCCAGCTGGATTTGCCTTGTTGGCATAGCTGGGTCTAGAGTGGGCTGGGGACCCAGGGCTCAGCAAGGTAGTACCCTGGCTGGGGTGCTCAGACCCTGCTTTTGTCCATGTTCTCAAGGTGGAGTGGAATGTGACCATGGTGTTTGCCAGGACCTTGGCAGAGAAAGACATCCAGCACTACCCCTCCCCATTTCGGGGAGCTTTTGGGGTGGATCTTTTACATTCTAGTTGCGCATTAAAGTGCAGCTTCATTTCTGTGCCCCAGGCAGACAAATCAGCTTATGGGCCCCAGAACTCTCTCTCCCCATGGCACTTGGGAGGCTGCTAGGCTGGGGTCCTCTGCTACGATGTCTCTGTTTCTCTCCTGTTGTGCAGAAGCTGTTCCAACTGCCCTCAGTTGTTCTTCGGGAGGATCTGCTCTATACATAGGTGGAGATTGGTGTATCTGGAGAAGGTGAGCTCTCATGGCTGCTGGTCTTCCTCTTGTCTTTAGCCTTGGCATCCTTGGCTCACTCAGGAGAAAATACCCCAAATGATAAAAGGCTGCCCAGGTGGTCTGTAGCCAAGACATCAGGCTGAAGCCAGCCCAGGCCAGAGGCCTGCAGGCCATGGAAGCACCAGCATCTTGGCACAGTGACCCACCATGGGTACTGCACTCTGGATGGCGGCAAGCACCAGCCAGGTCTTGGCATCCAGCCCTGAATCACTGACATTGGGGAGTAAGACCCCAACAGAGGGAACGGCTTTTCCCTTCACAGACACCCCACACCTGGACCCTCTACCTGAGAGGGGGATTTGCGCCTGGGTAGTAGCCTCAAATTTCCCGCTTCTGGGTACAGATGCCCTACTTTTCTGGTTTGGGTGGTTCTTTGTGCTCCGTGGCCTGATCTTCCAAGCGTCTTACAGAGTCACTGCCTGTGTTGGGGTGGGAGGGTCCATGCGGCCACTTCTTCCCTGTTTGGCGATGGGGGCACCGCTTGGGAGCCAAGTACGTGGTCACGGTGCATTGCCAGGAGGCAGGGGGAGGTTTCAGCGTCCCGGGCACGGTCTGCATCCTCCGGGCTCACATTCTCACAAGGCAGTATGGGGTGCGGTGCTCGGGGCCTGGTGCACAAAGCTTGCAGCCAGCTCGTCTGGACTAGGCAGGGATGCTGAGTGGACAGGCAGAGGCGGCCTCTGGGACAGCGAGGGAGAGCGTGGGGCTGGGCACCAACGATGCGTGTGGGCGGGTGTCAGAGGGAGGGGAGTGGGCTGGGCAGGCGGCCTCTGCCTGGGGAGCGTCTGCAGGGGCGCAGGGGGGTCGGCGGCTCTCCGTGTGGGTCACGGTGTCCCGTTAACGAGCGTGGGCTCTGTTCTGCAAACCGTGGGTTGGAGCAGAGCGTGGGCCGGCATGTACGGCGCCGTGAGGGAGGCCAGGCTGCTCCTGGCTGCGTGTGTGTGGTCGGGCGCCCGGGGGAATGGGCGGGGCGCAGAGGTGGAGCCCTCGCTCCCCCCGGAGCGCTGGGATCCTGGCTTTGGTGACTGCCTGCACCAGGACCCCTAAGTCACCACCAGGCCCTGGAGGACCAGGAGGCGATGTCCCCGCCCCCCAATCCCTGGCCCGTCGCCAGGCAGCCTTCTTCACCTGCGGTCCCTGCCCAAAGAGCAGGCGGCTGTCCCCGCCCTCACCCACTGGCCAAGAGCCAGGCAGTTGTCCTCACCCACTTTCGCTGGCCAATCACCATTCAGCTGTCACTGCCCCGCTCTCCCTCACCAATCAGCAGGCAGCTTTCTCTGTCCCGCTCTTCCTTGCCAATCACCAGGCAGCTGCCCCCGCCCCTCTCATCCTGGGCAATCACCAGGCAGCTGGCCCCGCCCCTCTCAGCCTGGCCAGTCACCAGGCTGCTGTCCCCGCGACTCTCATCCTGGCCAATCATCAGGGAACTGTCCCCATCCCTCTCATCCTGGCCAATCACCAGGCAGCTGGCCCCGCCCCTCTCATCATGGCCAGTCACCAGGCAGCTGGCCCCGCCCCTCTCATCTTGGCCTATCACCAGGCAGCTGGCGCCGCCCCTTTCCTCCTGGCCAGTCACCAGACAGCTGTCCCCTCCCCTCTCATCCTGGCCAGTCAGCAGGCAGCTGTCCCCTCGCCTCTCACCCTGGCCAGTGACCAGGCAGCTGTCCCCACCCCTCTTACCCTGGCCAGTCACCAGGCAGCTGGCCACGCCCCTCCCATCCTGGCGAATCACCAGGCTGCTGTCCCCGCCCCTCTCATCCTGGCCAGTTACCAGGCAGCTGTCCCCGCCCCTCTCACCCTGGCCAATCAGCAGGCAGCTGTCCCCACCCCTCTCATCCAGGCCAGTCTCCAGGCAGCTGTCCCCGCCCCTCTCACCCTGGCCAATCACCAGGCAGCTGTCCCCGCCCCTCTCATCCAGGCCAGTCATCAGGCAGCTGTCCCCACCCCTCTCATCCAGGCCAATCACCAGGTGGCTGTCCCCGCCCCTCTCATCCAGGCCAGTCATCAGGCAGCTGTCCCCACCCCTCTCACCCTGGCCAATCACAAGGCAGCTGTCCCCGCCCCTATCCTCCTGGCCATTCAGCAGGCAGCTGGCCCCGCCCCTCTCATCCTGGCCAGTCTCCAGGTAGCTGTCCCCGCCCCTCTCATCCTGGCTAATCACCAGGCAGCTGTCCCCGCCCCACCCATCCTGTCTAATCAGCCCGCAGCTGTCCCCGCCCCTCTCATCCTGGTCAATCACCAGGCAGCTGTCCCCGCCACCTCATCCTGGCCAATCACCAGCGGCTGTCCCCGCCCCTCTCATCCTGGCCAATCACCAGGCGGATGTCCCCGCCCCTCTCATCCAGGCCAGTCACCAGGCAACGGACCCCGCCCCTCTCATCCTGGCCATTCACCAGGCAGCTGGCCCCGCCCCTCCCATCCTGGCCAGTCACAAGGCATTTGGCCCCGCCCCTCTCAGCCTGGCCTGTCACCAGGCAGCTGTCCCCGCCCCTCTCATCCTGGCCAATCACCAGGCAGTTGTCCCCGCCCCTCTCACCCTGGTCAATCACCAGGTGGCTGTCCCCGCCCCTCCCATCCTGGCCAGTCACCAGACAGCTGGCCTAGCCCCTCTCACCCTGGGTTCCTGCTGGGGTCTTCTGGGCCCTGTAGCTGCAGCCCCCCGGGAATGTGCGGGAAGCCATGGTGCGCTGCTTGCAGGTCCTGGACGTGACAGTGCCTGGGGCTGGGCCTCTGCTGTTGCTGGGGCGGTGGGTGGGGGCGGGGGTTAGGGTTCCTCCTTCACTGATGAACTTAAACGTCAGTGCGAGCACTTCGAGCACAGGAAGAGAAAAGGCAAGGGGCACAGTGGGCAGGTGTGGAAACCCACCCAGATACTCCCAAAGAGAGGCGCCTCTGAGTGGGGAGGGACCTGCAGGTCTGGTGGCCTCGCCCGCAGGGTGGTTACTGGAGACGTCAGCCATCGAGCTCAAGTCAGGAGCTTGCCCGGTGCAGAAAGAGGGGAAATGAACTCTCGGGCCTTAGGGCACAGTCGACCCTGTGATGCTGAAGCACCGGAGTCAAGGGCGAGGACAGTCACTGCCCGGGAAGCTGCTGTGCTGAAATCAAAACCAGGATGAGTTTCCCCGACAGGCACGTTAAATAGACACGAGCGACATTTCTCTAAAGAAGACTTCCAGACGACCAGCAGACACCTGGAAATATGCAAAACGTCACTCATCGTCAGGGAAATCCGAATCCAAACCACGGTGAGCGGCGACCGCACACCTGTCAGAATGGCTGACATTAACAACACAGGAGGCAACAGGTGCTGGTGAGGATGCGGAGGAAAGGGATCCTCCTGCACTGTGGGTGGGAATGCAAGCTGGTGCAGCCCCTCTGGAGAACAGCATGGAGGTTCCTCAAAAATGAAAATAGAGCTACCCAAATCCCAGGATCGCACTAGCAGGTGTTTATCCAAAGGATACAAACAGTGATTCAAAGGGGCACTTGCACACCCTGAATGTTTATACCAGAGATGTCCACAATAGCTCAAATATGGGAAGAGCCCAGGTGTCCATTGACAGACGAATGGATAAAGAAGATCTGCTCTATATACACATTGGAGTACTACTCAGCCATCAAAAATGAAGACATCTTGCCATTTGCAACCAGGGCGATGGAACTAGAGGTTTTTATGCTAAGTGAAATAAGGCAATCAGGAGGACAATTATATGATGTCAGTCATGTGGAATTTAAGAAAGAAAATAGATGAACACAGGGGAAGGGGGGGAAATAAAGTAATCAGGGAGGTAGACAAACCAAAAGAGACTCTTAAAAAAATCATTTATATGCGAGAGCATGAGCAGGGTGAGGGGCAGAGGCAGAGAGAGAAGCAGTCTCCCCACTTAGCAGGGAGCCCAGCGTGGGGCTGGATCGCAGGACTCCGGGTTCATGACCTGAGCCAAAGGCAGGCGCTTAATGGACTGAGCCACCCAGGCGTCCCAAGAGAGTCTCAACTTTAGGAAACAAACTGAGGGTGTTGGAGGGGAGATGGGTGTTAAGGAGACAGGTGATGTAATGAGCGCTGGTGTTATATGCAACTGATGAATCAGTAAATTCTACCTCTAACTGAAGAAAAGGGGGTTAGTGAACAGGGTTAGAGTATAATACCCACAAACCCTGTTGTGAAACATAACTTTCTCTCTAAATTTATCACCTGGAAATACAGTTTAAAGGTCTCCAACGTCACTCCATAGCACAGTTCCAAGCTCTGTTGTATCCAGACTGCATGTCAGGCCTGAGGACCCCTGGGCTCTATCCAGTTCTGCTCTGCCAGTCCCTGTCAATTGAGCCTTTTCTTTTCTAGAAATGTGGAAAGCTTTGTGCACATAAAAGACCCTTTCCAACTCTTTGTTTGATTATATCTGCTGAAATGAGAAATGCTAAAACTTCAGTTAATCACCTCTCTTTTTCTCCAGAGACAAAGAAAACGGCAGTGTCGAGAAACCCAGCTAATTCTGTCTCAGCTGCAGTCCACCTGCACCCTCTGCCTGCTGCCCACTGCACGATAACCCCAGGTACGGTGTTTGCTTTTCCAGATGTGGAGAGAAAGGGACTAGAGTTTTCATTCAGGAGTTGACTCTCCTCCTACTGATGCTGCTGGTGCTGGATCTCCCGTGGGGTCCTGGCTGGTTCTGTTAGGGGACGTGTAGGTGAGGAATGAGGAGAGCCGGGGGGCCACCCTGGCTCTGGGAATGTGAGCTTCTGTCTTTGGGTCTCAGTGCTGTGAGATCCCTTCCCTCCAGAAGCAGGGCTCAGCAGGGGTCAGGTTTGGCAGTGGATCCCCCAGGATGTGAGCTGGCTGCCCTGCCCAGCAAGCTCTTCACCCCCACAGCTGCTAACAGCCACTTGACCTTAGGCCTGCTGAAGCCTGAAAGGTCACAGAGTGTCCAAGAACTTTCCCACATGATCATGCAGTTGAAGAAACCTGGGATCCAAGATGGTGACAAGCAGGGAACGTTTAGCTTATGTAAAACAGGCAGTAGAGTAGATAAAATAGCTGCCTGTTCATATTGCATACCACTAGATTGAGATGGATTGTTTCTTCCCATGTGACTTCCCTCGAGAGCAGAGCATTCACTGGTGCCAAAGGCCTACTGGACACTAAACAGATGGAGGGGATCCGTCCCTGGGCTCATGGAGGTAGCATTCTGAGAGAAAGAACGCAGTGCAGTGAAGCAATGTCGGTGACTCCTGGGACCAGTGTGTGAGCGCAGGGGATGGACAGAGGGGACTGGGCGATGGACTAGTTTGTAGAGGGAGGTGTTCTCTGAGGAGTTCCTGCGGCAACCCTAAGTGGCAAGGAGCATGGAGTTTGGGAGCAGCACTCCACGGGAGATAGGTAGTAAAAGGGGGTGACATGCAGACATGGGAGGCTAGAGGGTGCGGTAGACCGAGGAACATGTGTCCTGGAATCAACAGGAGGTCTGAGCAGGACCAGTGTGGGATACAGGGGATTGCGGAGTTTTCACTCAGTCCTCCACAGGGACATCAGCTGAATGGGCAGAGAAGAGCAACCCGGGCAGATTGGTGTTTTCCGGAAGGGAGTCCAGGAGGGCATTTTGGTTTGGGGCATGAGCGAGTAGGAGAGTGGGGCCATTTATGAAGCTGAACTGGGGAGACCATTCCTGGATTTGTGTAGCATTGTCCCACAGGGTTTTCTTCCTTTTCACTGTGGGAAGCAGAGGTCTACTGAGGTTTCTACAAGTTGCAGGACAACCATAGTCCCTTGAGACTCACTGTGTGTTGTGACACCCTGAGAACCCTGTTTCAGGCGAGTCTACTTAGGGCATGGCTGCAGCTGCACCTGGAACAGCCCCTCCAGCTCACCACCCTGCAGTCAGGTCCTCCCACTGCTGCCAAACTGAGGGGTGCAGTATGAGCAAGTTTAAACCGTCTTCAGTTTTCCCGTGTGGAATTAAAATGCTGAATTTGAGAGTGTGGTTTAAGGAGCTCACTTCCATTTCAGGAAACCCACACCTTGAAGGAAATGTTCAGGGTTAATTTTGGCAACAGAGTTTCCCAAAGAGATGTCTTAATTTGCCCTGAATGAATGGACTCCCCCATCTGTGGGGTCAGTCATGATGGACTGTAGAGAGAGCTGTTCTGGAAGAAACGGAGATGGTTTGACATGCCTCATCCATACTTTGGGGGGTTCAAGGATATTCTCTTCATCCTGTCTTATTGCGATGATCTGAAAAGTCACCCTACTCCAGCAGTTCTGTGTGATGTGGGTTCCCCAGTGCAAGAGGAGAGGCTCGCTTTGGCTAAACAGAGCAAGAGGTTGCCAGTCAGGAAGCAAGCACCTGGGGCTTGCAGCCCAGAGGAGGCCAGAGCAGGCCTGGGAATGGTCCTGGGGGTAGGCCTGAAAGGAGAATACTTCATGAGACCCCTGGTCCTCTGTTCAGTGGTGAGTGGTCTGCTTCCCCTAGAGAGTGCCAGAGTGGATGTGAGAGGACCCCACAGCTGCCCCAGGCTGATGAAGAGAGAGGGAGAGACTAGCCTTTGGGCCTTCCAGGTGAGCTGACTACCAGGCTATGCTCCCTTTGTGACTCCACTGTGATGGCTTGGATGAGGGTAAAGGTCATTCCCAAGCTGGCATTTGCAAAAGTGAGTAGGGAGGGGAACTTTTGTCTCATTTCACACCAGTCTGCCCACCAGCTCGGGCTCACCTTTTCGATGAGGCCTGAGCTCCCTCAGCAGGTCCTGGGAGGACGATATCTAGGATGAGGACACTAGTAAGAGGGGCTACCTTGACTTGAGTTTTGAACAAGCCCAACAGCAATGCCAGCCATCTCAGTAAGCCCATCCTTCTTCCACCAACATAAACAAAATTTCTCAAATGACGTCCATACACGGAACACACTTTTCCTAAAATCTTCCCCTCCCAACTAGACTTTGGGTCCTTACAAAGGCCTCATCCATGCACAGAAATTAATTCAGCAAACAACATGTTTTTAGCTGTCATGTGCCCTCATCTCTGGCTTCTGGTAAGAATGACAGGAAGATGTGACATTCCCCACAGGTACACTGTAACTTCCGACTATGTTTGGTCAGCCTTCAGTTTGCTTCTTCTGGTTTGAGCACATAACTGGGGCTTCCCATACTAGCCGCACTATTGTAGACCCACCACCTGCTCACACACCAGAATGAAGAAGATCCAGAGTCACATGACATAACAGCCCAAATATGCAAGATGGATAATTAAGAACATTCACCATGCCAATGTCCAGAAAAATGTCATCTTGAATATGCCACACAATCCAAAGATCGCCAAGATCAATGATGACCTAGATGTTGGGATTTCCAATGGGTTTGGAAGGAACCATTATAAAAATGCTTCAATAATCTATTGCAGTTGGGATTGAATGAAATGAAAGTAAGTCTCAGGACAGAAAGATATAAAAAAGAACATAATTAACAGAACTGAAAAAAATATAACTAAAATTTTTGCAAGGCAGTAAATTGGCTCAGTAGGACAATGTAGATGACAGAGGGAAGAGTCAGTACCTTGAAGGTAGAACAACAGAAAGTATCTCATATGAACAATGGAGAGAAAAAAAATCTACAAAAACAAAAATCTATTCATGTCACAAGAATCCAAGAATGAGAAAAAAAGAAAAGGAGGGATTAAAAAGTATTTCAAGGAAATGTAAAGGAAAAAAAAAGGGGGGGAATATTTCAAGAAAACATGGCTGATCATCTCCCAAATTTGACATAAAACATGAGCCTAAAATTGAAGAAAATAAACAAAACCCAGAGGGAACCCCAAGACATCTGTGAAGACACATGATATAGACTAAATTTGATCCCCCATCCCACTCCCATGTTTCATTTCTAACCCCTATGAAACTGGACCTGGCACCTTGGGAGGAACGAACATAGGTTGAGTTAGGTCACAAGGTTAGGGCTCTCATGATGGGGTTAGCATGCTTATGAGAAGAGACACAGAGAACTTTCACTCTCCATGCACACCAGCAAAGAAAGGTTATGTGAGCACAAAGCCAGAAGGTGGCTATCGACAAAACTCCAGGAGGATAGGCTTCCTCAGAACCTGATCAAATTGGTGCCTTATGTTGGACTTCTATGCAGCAGAACTGTGAGAAAATGCATTACGGATGTTTAGCCATTTTCTAAACCTAGCATTTGGTGCATTTTTATACAAGACAAGAAAGGAGGACTCATAGGGTATAACACTGGACTTTATCAAGATTAAACCCTTCTGTTGTAGTAAAGATCTTGTTAGGAGGATGAAAAGACAAGCTATAGACTAGGTGAATATATTTGCAAACCACTTATCTGACAAAGAAGTTCTATCTATAATATATAAAAAAACAACACTCAACAGGGGGAGGAAAAAAAAATCCAAATAGCAAATGGGCAAAAGACATGAACAGACATTTCAGGAAAGAGAACATGCACATGGCAACTAAGCACAAGAAAAAACTGTACATTAGTTTCCGTGAGGGAAATGTAAAGGAAAAACTTGATTGAAAATCACTACTACCTACCTTTTAGGACAGCTCATTAATATAAAACACAGTAAAAACATCAAATGTAGGAAAGAGCCAGCTCTCCTACATTGCTGGTGGAAATGTAAATGGAACAGCCACTCTGGTAAGACAGTTTGATAGGTTCTGCAAAAGTGAAACATATATGTGACAACCCAGCACTCACTGTCCTGGACCTTTATTCTAGAGAATGAAAATTTAAGATCCCACAAAACACTGTGCCCAAATATTCACTGTGGGATTATTTGTAGTCTCTAAAGACTGGAAACTAACAAAAATATCCCTCAAAAGGGGAGCAGATGAACAAACTGTGGCATTTCCAACCTAGGGAGCACAACTCAGTGATAAAAAGTAATAAAGTTAGGATAACACAAAACGTGGATGGATTCCAGGTATATTATCCTGAGTGAAAACAAACAAACAAAAAAACATCATCACTGGTCACAGCTGTAGGAGTCCCCTCATATAACAAATTGCCAACAAAATGGCAACACAAAATGCCAAAGTGTAAAACACAGGGGTGAATGGCATGGAAGGGATGGCTGGGGCAGGGGAGGGTAGCATGAGGGAAATCTTCATGCTGATGGAGTAGTTCCATACCTGGATTGTGCTGTTGAACATAGAAATGTCCATGACAAAGTGACAGACCTAGACATATCCATCATACTACTGTCATTTTCCTGGTGCGAATAGTGTCCTGCAGTGATGTAGGATGTCACCTTGGGGCAAAATGAGCCAAGAGTGCCTCTGCAATGGGATATTTCTGTACTATGTGAACCTTCCTGTGAATCACTAAATGTACCTAAATCCCTCCCTCCCTATAATATGGCTCTACCTTTCAACACACCTCAGAATAGTTCCCTAAAGCTATCAGTCCCACCCTGGCTCCTTGAAGCTCCAAGCTTCCCCAGGACCCTAATGTGTGGGTGTTAAGCAGCAGCGTTGGAGGCAGGAGGAACCTGGTGATGGTCTGTGACTGGGCAGGTGCTGGGCT